ATTTTGTACTGGTTGACTTGTTCCACTACAGCCATGCCTCTAGTTAGCACTTGGTTTTTAAGTAAGTGAAAGCACCCAAAGAGTCATTGTATTAATTTGTTCAAAACTTTTTTTTTTTTGGTAAGTCAATACAGAGTCTAAACAGGCAGCAGTAATGCCCACGGTGAATTTGGTATTTAGGTTTGTGTGACGGTATCTTTTTTTTTTTAATTAATTAATTTTTCTACATCATTCCTCATTTTGTGCCTTTTTCCACCTCAGTTGTAATCCCTATGGTTTCCCATCACCAATTCACCCTTGTGCCATTAGTGGTATCTTTTTAAAAATTTTATTGCCATGTATTTCTCAGTGTCAATGTTTTTCCTCTCGTTGACACTCAGTTAAAAAATAGTAAAATTCAATCGTGAATGTCTTATTATACATCTTCACTACTGGCATCTTGAGGAAAAGTTGGAAGTACATTCCATACATTTTCTTGAGTCAATTTTTATCACAATGATTATACCCAATGAGTAAGTGAAAGCCCTGCTTCAAACCCTGCTTAGGGAAATTACTTCTCTGGATACTCTATAGCCTTGGAAAAGAAATACCATGAGTTGTTTCTTTAAACTAGGATAACTCTGCATAAACATTGTCTATGTAATTGCCTTTTATCATCACAACAGAAGAAAGGTCAGTCTCCCTAGTTGTATATTGTAGACAAGAATTATACTGATAAGGGGTCACCATATTGAAATTCACCACCATGGGCATAATGTCAGTTGCTGGCAACAGGTAATTGGAATGAATGTTTCTCTCCCCTTATCTTTAACCCAGGATTAGTGTGAAAGCAACATTGTAAACTCAGTGGACTCAAACAGCCAATGGATGAGAGCTTTAGATGTTGTGGGTTGGTTTGTTTAGATATTGCTGGGGCGTTGCCAAATTATATTTTCTAAGGAAAAAACTTCACAATTTTTGCTCCATGTCCAACTCTTCAATGATGATTAATCCAGTTGGGTATTTATAAGTTGATGCACCAAAAGGTACATAAAGGTTAGTAGTATAAATTTGCAGATGCAAATGAAGTGAGGTTGTTTTGAGATTTATGATGTGATCAGGGAATGTTTTCTCTTACAGTCCATGATGTCTGTGAACAGATATGAGAGTGTTTAGTAGGTACAATATAGGTACAATACCCTTATGTGGTATTTTTTTTTAAAGATTTATTTATTTATGCATACAGAGCTGGGGTACAGACCATAAGTTCAGGGGGTGAGAGCCTTCACCAGAGACAGAGTGGGGAGCAGAACAGGCAGATCCATGAAGTACACTGCTGAGGCAAGCAGTGGGCAGGTTAGGAGAGGTCTGCCGAGCCATGTGGGTCACCTCCGGGGCTGGGGACGAACTCGTGCCGAGGTGGCTTAAGCTTCTCAGTGCTGTGTTTTAACCCGCTGCGCCACCAGGGAGGTCCTTTTTGAGGTATTTTAAGAGAGAAAATATTTTGACTGTTGAATGCCATGACTGACGGTACATGCTTTCATAGTTCGATATACTTGTATATACGTGTGTATAATACGGTATCGCATGTGATATGGCACATATGCTAGCCACACACACACACATACTATACAAACAATAATCAGAAGAAAGCTAGCAAAACAGGTATTTATGGATATTTATCTATATTTCACAAAGAATTTAAGTAGACCCCTAATTATAATGAGGTTTTAAAATTTCTTTTTAACATTGAAGTAATTCTAAGGTCAGGAGACCGACTTCAATTGGAATAAGGCAGAATATAAATAAGTATAAAATATTAATGAATAAAGAAGTCAAAAGTGAAAAATCATGTGCAATTCTGCCACCAGCGAACAAGTCTTTATTGTCTATAGTTCCAGCAATACTTTTGCTACATGTCAGCCATGTCAAGTCTTGTCATCTTTATGAACTATTCTAACCATATATTTTTATTTAACATGTTATCTTAAGATTTAAACTATTTCAACAGACATAACAATTTTGCAGCCATATGATTTTTAAAAAATATGTTTATTAACGTAAGAGACCATTATTTATTGACCTCTTACTGGGTTATTTCCCAGTAAGAGGTCAATAAATAATTCTAGTTGGAACACTAAATTAATAGCTAGTATCTACAAGAGTTATTCAGCCTCCTGTTAAAATAGATGACATTTTTACACCTTCATTGACTTTTCCATTAAAAGGGAATCATCATACTTAAAACAGGGAATCATAATACTTACCAGTTTTATAATGTAATACACAAAGGGGTTAGCTAGGAAAGAGCTCAGGAAAGATATTTTCATCATGATCATCTTCAGCACCACCTTACCATCATCTTAGTTCTCTAGTATGAAATGTCAGTTCTTTGGGAATTCCTTTTTATTTTCTCATAATAGGCTGAACTGAACTCCGTGTGTCTGTAGCCTTACCAAGTGAGCGCTTTGCTCTGCGGGTATAGTCGCATCTTCTTACTTGATTCCTCTGCTGGATGGTCTACTCTTGAAAGCAGGGAGATTGTCCTTTATGTCATTGTATTCCTGTGACCTTCATCATGATGGTGCAGAGTAGTAAATGCCCACTGATATTTGTTGAATAAAAGCATGCATGCATGAATGATTTATTTAGTGAACACATTGCATCTGCAAATCAAGTGAGGGTATTTTGAGATTTATGGTGTGATAAGAGGATATTTTCTCTTACAGTCCACTGATGTCTGTGAACAGATCTTGAGAGTGGTTAGTAGGTCCAATCGACTGGAAGAACTGGTGTTGGAAAATGCTGGACTCAGAGCGTGAGTGTTTTCCTGAATATATGAATATGTTCCTTTAAAACTTTGTCATTTCCTCTAAAATCAATATGTAGTTTTAAAAAAAGTGGGTCACTGACTTATGAAGTATAGTGTTTTCCCTTCTTAAAAAATGTCCTTATGTCCCCTATCATACTTGATCTCAAGTGTATTGCTTAAGCCCTCTGCCCAGTCTCCTTGCCTTTAAATGGGACTAATAGTGTCTAATTTAAAGAATGATAATTGTGAGAATAAGTGCTTAGGAAAGTGTCTTTCCTGTTGTAGATGCTTTGTGTTAGATTTTCTTGGTATCATTAATGATAGTCATAGTAATAACATATTTCATGATTCTACTGCTTTTCCTTGGTCACTTTTAGTCATTTACACTTTCTTTAGACACTTACATAGTTTTAATCTAGTGGCTCAGTAGTTGATATACAAGTCAAGCGAAGCTTAAATCTGCTACAACAAAGACTTTAGTCTGGGGAGAGGTGACAGTTTGTAATCATAGCACGTATTGTGTTATTTTAAGTTAAACCAATCTAAAATAGTGATTTCGATTTTTGCTAAAATACAGTGCTAGCAATTGTAGCCTTTCAGCTTGATAATTAGTGCAATCAGTTTTACATTCATGAGTATTGTATTCATGGGAACTAAGAGAGAGTCAGTGGCCTGTTACAGTTTTCTTGAAAAGCGGATTCAGTTCTGGAGTTTGTCTATTTTAGTTAAGGAGGGGCCAAGTAGGATTTTTTATATGGCAGTGTGTCGTGGAAGGGGGCAATTTATGTGTGTGTGTGTGTGTGTGTGTAAACATATACATATACACATACATATACATATATATACATATACATATATATAGTTATGTAGTGTGTAATTTTTTATGAGGCTTTGGCTAATCAAAATAAGAGCCACATACAGGACTGTGGCATTATAGCCTCACTAACAAGGGTATATATTTGTGTAAAACAGATTGGGTATTGACAAGTACCTGCTATATAGATTGTTCCTGAAAGATAGCCTTTCTTATTTTTTAGATTTCATTCCAGCTACTCTAGCTTTAAATGTTTATTTGAAGAGTTTAACATTTCATTTAATCTTAATGTTTTGTTTACTTGCAGAGATTTTGCACAAAAACTGGCCAGTGCTCTAGCGCATAATCCCAACTCAGGATTCCACACGATTAACCTTGCTGGCAACCCCCTGGAGGATCGAGGTACCGTAGTGCACGTGTGACCACCGATGCCAGAATTGTACTAGGATGGCAGGTTTTGATGCTGTCGTATCTGAAGAATAGCACTGTTATGTGATCAGTGCTACCTGCTACTTCTTTTTCTAGGTGAAAGTACTGGAGTGTAGGCCAGATGTGCAGTGGGTGAGACACCAAGTGGGGAGCAGAATAGGTGGGTTTACTGAAATACACTGCTTAGGTCTTTTCAGCCTTTTGTGGAAGTACTCATGCTGAAATCTTGTCATCTGATTAACATTTTGGAAGTGATACAAAATGAAAGGGGATATTATTTTTAAACTATTGTATTTGTTTTTGTTTTATCTCAGTTTTCTTGGTTCAGATGTGGGTACAGCTTAGCTAGATTCTCGGTTGCTACTTGCTCACAAAACTGAAATCAAGGGGTCAGTTTGAGCTCTGGGGTCTTGTCTGTGATCTGGGATCCTCCTCATCAGGCTTACTTGTTGCTGGCCAAATTAATTCCTGTGTGGCTAGAAGACTGAGGTTTTGCTGCTCGCTACCCAGCCAGAGCCATTCCAAGTGCCTAGAAACTGTACGCAGGCCTTTACCTTCTGGAGCTCTCCTATTATAGCACCTTGGCTTCTACCCAGCAGTCGCACATCCATTGTGATGCTTTGCTTCCCTTTAAACAGCTCACCTGATTGGGTGACACCCACCCAGGACAACCCCTAAGTCAATTAGTCAGTCAAGTTGATGGGCTCACAGTCAACTGACCAGGCACCTAGTCACACTTCTGAATTCAACAGTCTGTTCTACACACTTGAGGAAATTATCCAGGGTGTGTACAACAGGGGGTAGGAGACTTGAGGACTGTTAACAATTTGACTTACTGGAAGTGTCTTTAATATTTAACAAGGCTTGAATTGGGGCATAAGGGGCAGTTGAAGTGAAACAGGGACATAACAGAGCAGAGGGCATCAAGGCAGGAGGCTGGATGGGAAGATGGAATGGCCAGAATGACCACCCATCTGCCCGGGCTCTGAGACTAGACAGCCACCAAAAAGCCCCAAAAGGCCAGAAGGCCAAAAATCAAAATCAAGGGCTCTAGCAATACAACACCCATACAGTAGGAGCTTATGGGCCACAGCCTAGCAAAGGACAAGTGCCCCATAAAAGAACTGGTCCCTGTCTCCCTGTCTGTAGGTTCTCTCTCTCTCTCTCTCTCTCTCTCTCTCTCTCTCTCTCTCTCTCACACACACACACACACACACACACACAATTGCAAGAGACTTCAGGTTCCAGGAACAACCACCATGTGTTTTAATTTACAAACGGGTGCAAAAGAGCTTACTGTATCCACAATTAGCTGGCTATCTCACCCAGATAGTGTCAGTGATGGTTGCCACCGGTCACCAAGAGTTCTGGACAGCACTGGTCAGTAGTAATGGGCATTTCTGGTCCCTCAAGAGGTGGTGTCAGAGACACCCAGTGTTAGCAGCTCTTTGTGGGTTGTTGGGTTACATCAACAACAAACAGCTCTTTCAGACACCAGCCCCAGGGCCTTTGGTGCTCCTTTCAGGCAATGTCAGAGACAGGAACAAGGACCAATCTGACAAGAGTCCTTCAGCGCTCCTCTTCCCTCCTTAGAAGTCAGCTGCTGGATGCTTCTTTTCCTTTTTCTTGGAGCCAGGAATGGAGTTCTCCCCTCCTTTCTTCAGAGGCTGGAATCATCTTTTTCCTGTGATAGCTGGTGTCCCCTCTCCCTTAAAGAGGGGTCTTGTGTTCATCTCTTCTGTTGTCTCTCTTCAGCGGCTATCACCCTGACTTTAAGCCTCTTTCAGGGTGTCCCCCATCTCTGATTGGACCATTTTTCAATCTTGTGGCTGATTGGACCATTTAGCACCAATCAGCTCATAGCTTGTACCTGATTGGTCCATCCACAACCCAGGAAGTACACTGTTACATAAAAGGACTCTAAGGAGCAACTGACCTGTGGTGGAGCAGCAGGGTGAAAGAACACTATTGCTACTGCTGGGTCCCACTGCTGAGGCAGCTGGGTTCCAGTAACAGAAGGACTAGAGTTACGGCAGAAGAAGCGTTTATTAAAAGTGTTTCCTAGGGTAGGGAGAAGAGTCAGTAGATTTAGAAAGTGAAACTTAGCTGAATTTGAATTCTCAATAGGAAATCTTTGATGGACAGATTTAAGAAGATACTGTTTTAGCTCTAGAGGTAATATTTTGTTCTCATTATTTGTTGCAAATGTTTTCCAGCATTTTGAATAGGGGCCTTTCACATCTTGAAATGTTACATATTTGGTGAGGATTAACTACTCTGCTGAGAAGAAAAATCAAGTATAGACAGTTCTGTTTTTTGTTCCTAATACTTTCTTCACTAAATAAGATACAGATGCGATATGCAAGCAGCAACTTCAAATGTAACTTCCTATCATTTATGGTAGTAATTCTAAGGGAAATTTAAAACTGAATTAGGAAACTAGATCGCAGGAAAAGTACCTCTGTAGAGTGACCCAAAACTGAAAATAACAGATACCTGTCCCTGAAATAGGAGTTTATCTAGCATGTAGTCATTTCTTGGTCTCTGCTGGTCACATTCTACAATGTTAATATGAAAAAAGTAGGAGAACATTTTTTCCTTTTCCTTTTAGTAGCAGAAAGGCTGTTTTAAGATGGGAAAGATGTACACTTACTTATTTATTGGTAGGACAAAAGCATGAGAAAGATAAAATCGTTGTAGGCAGGTTGAACTGCAGATTGCAATGAAATTGGCAGAGAGTGTCCATACACAGTCCTTTGGAAAACACAAGTTCAAACCACCATTCAACACCACTTGGCAACTGGGGGTTTGGCTATACTCCAGTTGAGTGTTGGAGCATTCAGGGTGTGGGAGCTCATGCCTGACTGGTGGGAGTGTAAAGTGGTGTGGAAACTGGTTATATGATTTCTTAAGATGTTAAATACAAGTTTGCCACACAACACAGCAATTCCACTCCTAATTACTGCCCAAGAGAAATGGGGTGTATGCCTACTGAAGACTCGTAAATGAATGTTTACCACAGTACTATTCATAATGGCTCTAGAATGGAAACTCCATTTGTCCATCCAATCTATTAATAAGTGGATAAATCAATGGAACATACTCAACAACACAAGAAAACAAAGTGCTGATACAGGCCGTGGTAGTGTTGAACTCAAGAACACTGTGGTAAATGAAAGCAGACCCTAAAGAGCACATGTTGTTTATGAGTTTGAGGAGCTGTGAGGGGAAGAGTGAGTCTGAGGGTCTTGTCCTCTTTGCTGTGAGGCCCTTACCTGCCTTGAGGTATAGCTTTGCTGGAAACCTGTGGCCTCTGCTGTAATTTCATCCATCAGCCTCTCACTTGTGGATTTAACTTCTGTGACACATTTCCTTCTGCTGCATTATAATTAGGTGAATGTTTCTCTTCCAACTTACTAATACTTTTATCTCTTCTTTGTCCATTGTTCTCTGCTAGCCACTTAAGACCCAAAGCACCTAAAATGTTGTACCTAATTAATAAAAGCTTTAAAACTCAATTTGATTTCATGTAACCATCATCCTGCGTTTGCTTTTATCATTAAAAATTTTAAATCGAAGTAACATTGTATTATAACTATGTACATTTCAGGTGTGCATGTTTAACAGTAAACACTACATTGAGCTTACCATGTAGTTTTTTTAATTGCATTTGAAAATCCTAGTGAAGTTTACAGAGATTTCTCTTGTATGGAGTCAGAAAGTGTGCAAAGATGACACTTTTCTGCTTTTCTTTCCCATGTTCCTGCGTCTGAGACCTGATTTTGTAATTTTCGTCTGCCAGTAGTTCCTTCACAGGGGTTATAATCATGAGTCATTGCAGGGTGTTTTCCTCAGCTTTGTGTCCACATGCCAGCTCTCCGATGTGATTTCTGCTCAAATACAGCCAAGTTCTGACTCTGATGAAAATATTTTCTCCGGCTCAAATAGTCCTCATATTTGCCCCGTCTAGATTCATTCCTTGCTGTTCTCACCAGAGCTTTTGCAAACTGCCAACACCCGTATTTCCCGTCTGTCTTACCTCTGGGGGCTGAGCCGCCTGAACACAAATTCTTTGTAGGTTCTTTTTACTCAATCCAAATATCTGAGAGCATTGGGTAGCTTTTCTGCTCAGAGATGAAAAATCCACAAGAAACCCAACCTAGTGTAAAGTATTTATTAAAATTTCAAACCAGGGGAAATTTTCCATGGCTTTTGTTTCCAAACTTTGCAGTGACAACATTGTATCTTCGAAGATCATAAGAAGCATGAGGGAAGAGTTTGCAATCAGATGTCATAGGGTACAAAAGAGACCAGGCCAGGAAGATTATTTTCAAGGCAACGCAAAGAAATGCCAGGCAAATCCAGTCTGAACCATTGACAGCCCAGAATTCTGAGCAATTTAAACACCCAATGGAATTTTATTTTCCTCCTGTACTATCCACTCAGGGACTTATTTGGAAACTCTCAGAGAAAAAGTTTGGCTTCTGGCTTTGTGTCGTGAATGTCGAGGCAGCAAATCTCTGCTATTGGCAGCTCAGCCTCCTTGTCTGTCCTTGTGGTGGGCCAGGTGGTGGGAGAGGCTAAGGCGTGCTTCAGTAACAGGTAGCGTGTAAGTGGGAAATACTGCTAATGCTTGGGCTCTGCTCCTTTAAAAAAATTAATATCAATTAATAATAGTTATTAATTAATATCAACATGTGTATCTTTTACTTCATTGTGAGTTCCCCATAAAATTCTCACCACTGATTGACCCGTAAATCATCACCACAGTCACCATAGTTCTTGTGTTCTCCCCTTCCCTGCTGTGATCCCTTTCCCTCCTCCTGCCCCCACCCCACATGTCTCTGATTTTGTTTTCTGTTTATTATTGTACTTTGCAGATAGTGCACGGACTGCCCATCTTCAGGGACTCCTCTCGCCCTGAGTGTGGGGTCCCAAGGTTCCCCATTTTGCTCTTCTCACCCAGAGCGCTG